GGGAGAACTCAGGGTTGATTTCCTTTAGAATTGATAGGTTTGTTCTCCTTGCAGTCCAGGGGATTCTCAAGAGCCTCCTCCAACATCACAATTCAAAAGCATCAATTCTTCGGCGTCCAGCTTTCTTTATGGTTCAGCTCTCACTTCCATACATCACGACAGGGAAAACCATAGCTTTGACTGTGCAGACTTTTGTTAGCAAGGAGATGTCTCTGTTGGCAAAGTGATCCTACTCCTGCATCTGGGCAAATAAAACGGGTTAATCTTTAAGTTACCACATGACTCTTCGTTGATTTGTCTCGGCAGGGGTAAATAAAGTCAGTTTTATAATGCCATTCTCTGACTCGTACAACGCACGTCGACCGCCTTGGAGTAAACACCTGTCTCGCTTTTGGAAACCTCCTGAAAGCAGCCCCAACCAATGAGAGAAGGGCGAAGCCACAAGCACGGCCCCCCCTCGCCGGTAGATGTCTAGGGGAGCGTCTGCGCATGCCTGTCGCTTCCGCTTCCGCAGCCTTAACATGGTTACGGCGATGCCACTGCTCCACCAGAGGGGGCAGCCGAGGGGTGTCCCCCTGACATTCTCGGAGGCGGGCGGGCTTTGCAGTCTCGCGAGAAGACGCGTCCGCTCTTCCCTTTTCCGGTCTCGGGCTCCGGAGGCGGTCCTTCTCGTTGCCTTTGCAACCGGGGGAACTTCGGTGTTTTTTTTTGCCCGCGGATCCACCGGTGAGTCAGAACAGGGGCCCGGGGGAGGCAGAAGCCGGGGAGGCCGGCCGGGCGGTCCGTCCTCTCCGGCTTCGTGAGGGGGCTCGCTGAGTTGGAACGAGCCCGGCTCGCCTTGACGTGTCCCTTCGGGTCGCCGCCGGCTGTCAGCTGGGCTCGCTCCCCTGCGGGAGTCTGAGAGTCCGTTGCCGGTTATGTAATGGCATGTCTGAAGAGGCGACACGCGTCGACCTCACGGGGAGTCGCTTCCTCGTTAAGGCCCTGCGTGTGCCTCCCTCCTTCCCTCCCTCCCCCTGTATATTTTTACGCCCTTATATAAGAGTTGCAAATGGAAGCCTTGGACATTGGCGTGGGAGTGTGGCTCTCTTTCGCTCTCCTGGAGGGCCTGCGCCCTAAACGGCTAAGGAAAGCTCGTTTTCGGGCGCTGCTTAATTGACAGGAAACACCCTTCCCCCCCCCCAATGTCCCCATCACCGTCCAGTCAGCAGTACCCAAGTTTTAAATAAATTCCAAAACTTTTTTTCCCTCAGGCTAGATTGCCACCAAATGGGAATGATAGTGGGGTGTTTTGTTCTGTTTTTTTGGTTACATGGGATTAAAAGGAAGGGCAGGTACATGTCTTTGGACTTGAATGCATAAATATGAACACAAAGTATAATCAAGCTGAAAGAAAGTATTTGTAAATTGTATTGATTGGGCTTGGGAGAAAGGTAAATGTCTATTTAACACTATGGTTTACTTTAAATCAATAGCAAATAGAAGTTTGGATGGATAGTTGTCGCTTTGTTTTCTATGGGATAATTTTAAAGAAAAATTTGGACATTGGCGTGGGAGTGTGGCTCTCTTTCGCTCTCCTGGAGGGCCTGCGCCCTAAACGGCTAAGGAAAGCTCGTTTTCGGGCGCTGCTTAATTGACAGGAAACACCCTTCCCCCCCCCCAATGTCCCCATCACCGTCCAGTCAGCAGTACCCAAGTTTTAAATAAATTCCAAAACTTTTTTTCCCTCAGGCTAGATTGCCACCAAATGGGAATGATAGTGGGGTGTTTTGTTCTGTTTTTTTGGTTACATGGGATTAAAAGGAAGGGCAAGTACATGTCTTTGGACTTGAATGTATAAATATGAACACAAAGTATGATCAAGCCGAAAGAAAGTATTTCTAAATTTTATTGATTGGGCTTGGGAGAAAGGTAAATGTCTATTTAATGCTATGCTTTACTCTAAATCAATGGCACGTAGACGTTCGGCTGGATTGTTGTCGCTTTGTTTTATTGGGGATAATTTTAAAGAAAAACTTTCAATTATGGAATTCAGTGGAAATGGCTTCAGTTTCCCAGTGTTTTTTTAAATCTGAACTATATGTCATTTTAATATATTTAG